CATAGAAAACCAAAATGCTAAGGACGAATTAGCAGAAAAAGTTTTACAAGTGAAAAATAATCCTGCATTAGCTGTGCTTTTTGAAATGACTCCCTAATTGCTATTACACAACTATGATTAAATACGTTGGAAAGAGTTGTTTTTGGTTTTTTTAATGAATAAGCACTGAATTTCCTCCTTTTGTTCTCTATAGTAATGAGATCCCATTTAAGAAGTTGCAGTAGGGGAGAGATGGCTCAGAGGTCAAGAGCACCAGTTGCTCTTGCAGAGGACCTTGGGTCAGTTCTCAGCACCCACAAATGGCTCACGACTATTTGTAACTCTAGTTCCAGGGGATGGATCCAAATGCCTTCCTGTGACCTCCATAGGCACCAGGCAGGCACGTGGTGCATACACTCCATGCAGCCAAACATTCATACACAGAAAATAAATCTAAAAAGACGAAAGTTGAAGTAGCCAGGCATGGTAGTAACACTTGTAATCCTTATTCTCAGGGGGGCGGGAGAAGAAGGGGTAGTGAGATCATGTGTCCAATATAAATAAATAGAGCTACCATGACCTTATCAAACTTATTTAACTAAAGCTATGCCTGAAATGGTGATAGTCCAGTTCCCATTCTGAAAACCTTTCTCAGCGGGAAGCATCCATAAAGCTGCAAGCTACAAGTCATGCCTGATAACCAGCTTCTGACTGGACGCTCTGCAGCAAGATACTAAGAAGTCTACTGCTCTCTGTGGGGAGTGTGTTCTCCTGGCCCCCTCCCTCAATTCATTACAAAGAGGGGGGGGAGCCCTACATAGCTCAGAGATGTCCCCTGTCTGTAACCAAGCTCTTATATCCAAGACACTGCTCCTCTTGAGTCGAAAAGAAAAGAAGAGATGCAGGCCAGCCAGGTGGTTTTGTGTGAGTAAAAGCTTTTGCTGTGCGTGCCCAGCAACAAGAGTTCAATGCCTGGAGCCTGACATAAAAGTGGAAGGAGAGAACTGACTCCAGCAAAGCTGTCCTCTGACCTCTAGACACATGCCATCTCTCTCTCTCTCTCTCTCTCTCTCTCTCTCTCTCTCTCTCTCTCTCTCTCTCTCTCTCTCTCTCTCTCGCACACACACACACAATCACACACACACACACACACACACACACACACGAACGCACGCACACTAAAAAAAAGAAGAAAGAGATAACACTTTCAAAATTCATGAAAATAGAATGCCTCCTATATGTTCTCTGTGCAATAAAGCTTAATTCAAAGGAACGCCCCCACATTTTTGATGTTTAGCCAAACTGCCTCAGGCTTTACAATGGGCCAGAAATATGACAGCCCGGCTCCCTTCCAAGATCTTCATCTCCCCACGGCCATCAAAAAGAAAGGCTCCCTCTGCAGTATTCCTTCCTCACTGTTCCTGTCCCCCAACCCAGACTTTCTTGTGGTATTTCAAAACATTTCCTTATGAACCTCAGTAAAAACCTGAACAATAGCGGCTATGGAAAACGGAGCGTTGTTCCCGAACAATTCAAAATCTAAAAATAAATGAACGCCTGTGTGTTCGGTCTAAGTTTTGGAAGCAAGCCCAAATGGCTCTCTAGACCAGCACCTTTGCCCACACCTGTACGAGAGAGCTGCCTTTCCCTTTGCAGGAACAGTGTTATCGGTCTGTGAGCTGTGAGCTTTGCGGGTTTTATTGATGAGCAAGCCCCCAGGGGCAAGAGCTGTGCCTGGGTGATGGTTCATGGAAAACAAAGGAAGCAGAGCTGGGGGAGGAGGGCTGCTGGTTCATGGGCACTGGTTAGCTATAGTGACAAGCTGGCACCAGCCTCCCTAAAACCAAAGACGTGTAAAAGGCAAGAACAACCCAAGAGGGCCGTCAGAGGGGTGGCTAGGTGACTGTAGTGTGACCCACGGGCGATGATGGAGGGGGCCAGCTGGCCCTACACTTAGCTGAGTGTCTTTGGCTCTGTAACTCAGGTCCTCGACTTCGCAGCGGAATGGCCCTGGGTAAGTCAATGCCTTACTGCCATGGAGCTCTTCTGTAGTGGAGCCCAGCAGGACCGAGTAACAGTTCAGACCCTGCTTACACACGTGGCTGCCATGCTCTCTTTCCTCCCTGTTGAGGCTGAGACCCTGTGTGAGGCAAGAGGTGAGGAGCAGGCCTTGTTCACCTAAGATTGAAATGGGTGTGAACTAGCCCAAAATTAAGTATCTAAGTCCATTTTCTGTTGCTATGGCAACCTTTTGTGGTTGGTTGGGTTTGTTTTTTTTCTTTTGTTTTTGGTTTTTTGTTATTTGTTTTGTTTTGTTTTGTTTTTGGAGACAGGGTCTCTTTACTACATAGCCCTGACTGTCCTGAAATTCACTATATAAATCCACACTCATAGAGATCCGCCTATCTCCGCCTCCTGAGTGTAAGGATTAAAAGCGTCCACAACCATTACCAGCTAGTTTTGTTTCTTGTTTTTGTGGTTTGAAAGAGGGTCACACCATGCAGCCCTGGCTGGCCTCAAACTCGCAGGGATCCTCCTGTCTCTGTCTTCTGAGTGCTAGGACTACAGCTATCCCACCATCCCCAGCTACAAAATTCCTTGTAATAACTGATTAATTAAAGTGAGTCCTGCAGGCCGCTTGCCCTAGTTGGGTTTGGGGGTTTTCTGTTTGGTTTGCTTTGTCAATTGACACAAGCTAGAGTTATCCAGGAAGAAGAACCTCAGTTGAGAAAATACCTCCATCAGATTGCCTGGAGGCAAGTTGTGTGGCATTTTCTTAATTAATGATTGCTGTGGGAGGACCCAGCCCATTGTGGGCGGTGCTACCCAGGCAGGTGGCCCTGGGTTGTATAAAAAAGGCAAGCTGAGCAAGCCATAGAGTACAAGCCAGGAAGTAGCACTCCTTTGTGATCTCTGCTTCAGTTCCGGCCTCCAGGTTCCTGCCTTGAGTCCCTGCCCTGTCCTCTCTTCATGATGGACTATAAACTGTAAGATGAAATAAACCCTTTCTTCCCCAAGGTGCTTTTGGTCAGACCAGTAGAAATGCTAACTAGGATGCCTCTCTGCCAAGTGACTTGAACTCTGAAGGAGACCCCTGTACAGTGGGAGCTCCCTCCTGGACCCCGGGTTAGGCACAAACCACACCCAAACACCTGTTTTACAGAGAGATCCTTTATTAAGTGGGGAAGAAACGTTGAAGTGGCTGCTTTCTGACTCAGGCAGAAAAACAGTGGCCAATGACCTTGCGGGTGTCATTTTAAGAGGAAGAAAAGGGGAGGTCTGTGACAGAGTGGGCTGGGATGCTGTGGTGAAGGAGATATAGGAGGAGGGAGCAGGGGAAGGGAATCAGGGAAAGGGAGCAGGGGTGTTTGTACCAGGGAGCAAAGGACTGCCTCTGGATGGAGAGGAGACAGGTGTGGCGCATAGGCAAATGGGGGTTTATAAAGGTTACATGGGAAACCCCGCGTTAGGATGAGGTGTTTAATTTTGATGCTCATGCTAATTAGGTGAGCCAAAGGGGGCTTCTGATTGCTGGACTTCAATACTTTGATAGCTGGACCTTGGTAGTCAGCCTCAGGAGGAGGAAGTGGCCAAAAAGGGAGTAGACCTTGGGGGCTGGCTTTAGGAATGTAATCTAGTGGTTTTCAGCAAGGCAGAGAAAATGGGGGAGGAGGGCAAGGCCTGCCAGAGCTCAAGTGGACTAGTGTCCCTTCAAACCCAACAAATTGGGTCATAGAGATCTGAATTATTGCCACTCAGTCCAGGTCATAATCTACTATTTGATGGGTATTTGAAAGGGAAGAAGTCTTGAGTACTGAATCCTTTGCCTTGTGGGATTGGACAGTTTCTCCAAACAGACTGTGTCAGGATTGGATTGCACTGGAGGATATCCTGCTAGAGTGCTGCAGGATATTTGTGTGCACTGTGTGATGATGTTGTGATTGGTTTAATAAAAAGCTGAACGGCCAATAGCTAGGCAGGCAGGAACTTCCAGGAAAAGAGAGGAACTCAGTATGAATTTAGGCTCTCGAGAGAGACTCCAACGAGACACGGAAGGAGGTGGACATACAGAATGAAGGAAAGCCATGTGGCAAAACAGATTAATAGAAGCAGGTTAATTTAAGTCATGAGAGCTAAGGGACAAGCCTAAGCTAAGGCCAAACTTTCATGACTAATAATAAGTCTCCATGTCATTATTTGTGGGCTGGTGGCTGACAAGAAAGTCCAACCATACTGATGTCTGATGGAGAATTCCTTGGTGTGAGAACAACTACACACATGTGGTGGCAGCTACGTTGACTGATTATGCAAGGGAGGAGAATGGGCAAAATCACTTCTGTGTTTTGTTGTCTACGTCCCTTAGAGGTACCTAATCCAGAAGGGCCTTCACAGAGCAAAGGCCAGAAGAATGGCCAACGTGCTGCATAGAAGAAGTGTTTAAAGGAAGGAGGAGCCTGTGCCCACATGCAGCTGGGGTTAAATTCAGGACAATGTTAACTGCTTTTTCTTTTTGTTGTTACTTTTGACTTTTGAGACAGTTTTGCTGTGCAGCCCTGGCTGGCCTTGAACTTAAAATCCTTCTGCTAGGATTCCAAGTGTGCACCACCCACACCTGGACAGGTGGCTGTTTCTTGATGTGTTTCGTATTTCTTACTTGTGTTGTTGGCCTAGAGAGGTTAACGACACAAACCTTATAAAATGGAAGATATCTCAGACCCCCTTTAATGGAAGCAAAGGAAGAAACGTGACCTGTTTTGACTATAGTTCCAGAACCAGTCTCTAGAAATGAGAGACAGTGGGCCAAATCCTCAGTGTGTGTAAGACAAAGAAATAAATGGCAGCTCGTTGAGGCTTCAGAGACCCACCAACGAGGAGCTGAGAGAGGCCTGTGTATTCGGACTCTCTGGGAGACCCTTGGGAGACCCCCCCCCAGGGTGTGTCTGGATGCTAAAGAACACTCCAGGCTAGCCACACAACAGTGCTGACCACATGAAGTCCCCAACCACAGACCCACTACTCACCCTTCAGTCCATGAAGAGTGGGCTTCTAAAGGGCCTCCCTCCTTCCTTCCTGCTTCCTCTGAGGGAGACAAAAAGGAGGAGAAAGAGCTTCTGGATTGCTTTGAAACGTGGATGGAGGAACTGGAGGCCCTCAAGAGGAAGGGACTGACCCTGACAAAGCTCACCACAAAGGGTGACAGCAAGTGGAGAATGATCCTTCAGGGGATGGTTCCCCTCCCCCATCTCCCTTGAACATCCAGTGGGCAGGAACTTGATCAGCCCACACTCTCGGTCCCCTCACCAGGAGAGATTCAATGCCCAAGTTTGTTGAGGTCCATCTGCCAATCTGCATGAATATAGCAGGGTAACTGGAGGCTGAAGGAAGGAAGGAGAGAAGACTGCCCCTCGGGGAGTACTTGGAAACCAGTTTAAGATCTCTGATGACAGCAAGAGGTCTCCCGGGTCCCCTTAGCAGCAAGGCTGAGGACCTTGGCAGTCTTGTCAGTGTGGAGCTAAAAAAGCACAGACTCACCTTTTGCTAGCTGGTCACCCATGCGCAGCTGGGATGCAGTGTCCATCATGAGAAGACTGCTGCCAACAGGCGAGGGAGAGGCCAGACAAAAGGGAGAAACAATCAGAAAACTCTATAAACTCGGCAGACCATGCATTGAAGTCCCACTTTTTTGCTTTATGTTTACCACGGAGGGGGTGGGTCAAAAACAGTGTTGTACAAAGAATGGCAACTATAGTCATATGGCACTTAATCAAAGGGACACATTAGGCGATTTCATAGCTGTGTAAACATCATGGTAGTTTATGTAATCCTGGACACCAGCCTACCACATAACTAGGCTGTGAAAAGTATGTGTGTGTGTGGTGATGGTGGGTGACCAATACTAAAAATGCCTTTTAAAAGTCATGTAGAAGCCTACTACTTTATAAGCTAACTAAATACATATTTTATTATATATAATATTTTATATAGTTACATTTATATAGTTTATTATAATATATTTATTTTTTATAAATGCAATGTTTCTTATATATTTTATTTTTATATATTTTGTATATATAATAAACATATTATGTATAATTATATATATAAAATTTAAAAATAAAAAGGATCTTGAACTTTGTGTGCATGGTTAATGCCGCTCCCAGATGTCATAGTACCTGATATGGGATGCCTGCCTCCCTATAGCCTGTTGGCCAGGGAGCTCCCTAAACAATACAGGCTATTGCTACAGCTCTTGGTTGTCCTCCAGAACTAGATGGTAAAACCCACTGTTAAAGACCCGACACAGAAAGAAACCAAGCTGGAACTCACGGGAGACTTCCTCCCTGATGGTCAACTTCTCCAGTTCCAGAAGGTGCTCTGTAGACTGGGGGAGCGGGGGAGTCATCAGTAAGCTTACCCAGCTGCAGATCTTATCTGCTATACCACCAACCTTCCAGCCGAGACGATGCCCATGGGGCAATAGTGGCATGACTATTCCGGGCGAAACCAACTGCCTTCTGTTTGGAATGGAGGCCCGCTCTATCAGAGGGCATGCAAACCTGGTACCATAAACCTGGTCAAAAGCCTATGCTGAGGGAAGTCACAACCTCTGTAGGAAATCTACGACTGATGTTTGCTGAACTGATACATAGCCAGACTCCCTCGAAATATTTGTGTTTGTATCCATTAGACTAGTAGAGTTGTTGGCCTTGGTCTGAGAAACCTCTTAGGTCGGTGAATGACAGTTAATAGCAGTGACTCACGGCTGGTCGATGTGCAGAGAGCAAGTAACTGTTAAGTGCTCAGCCCTAACGGGATGTCTCTAGGACCCCTTCCAAGACCCTGGGAACATATGGAAGAGAGAACGGGGAAACTGTAGGGGCCGGAGGATGGGGGAGTGCTACAAAATGGGGTCTGCTGGATACGACACAGCCACTGCAAGCTCGCTCACACAGCAGCTGTGGCCACCAACCCAAGACCTGGAACCCCCCAGAAAGGACATGAAAGTGAGAGGGGACGGGGTGGGGAGAAGGGGATTGCCAGGAGGAGTAGAAGTAAAATATAAGAGGGTGACGGGGTGAGTATGGATCATCGTACATCGTGCACAAGTATGAAACTGCCAAAAATAAATTAATAAAGCCCATTTGCATATTGAGAACAGAAAAAAAAGAAGTGCTACTGGGGTCAGCGTGAACAACTATCAGACCGAGAGAAAACACTTAATCTTGAGACCCTAAATCCATAAGGCAGCAAGGCCGAGCCAGGGAAGCGGCACGCGGGATTTTTGTTGTTGCTGCTGACTTTGGTTGTTTGAGAAGAGGGTGCCTTTTGGCTTTGTAGTGCTGGGAATCAAACCCAGGGCCTCGTGCCTGCTACGCAGACACTCCCCTGATGAGTTGGTCATCCAGCCAGGCACGGGTTTTACAACAAAAGTTTGTTTCACAGCTTGGCATACACTTTGAGTGAGGGTAAAAACACAGTGTAGTGAACACATAACTGGTAGTTATTATTGAATCCTACGGACTACACAGAATTAATGTGCTCTGCTCCCCCATGACTGGTACTGTAGAAGGCTTGTTTACAACACGGTTACCACAAACGCAAGTACCATGTTTGACTATGACCCCGTGAGAGATACTGACACCAAGGAACAGGATTTTTTCAGATCCTTATAAAGTTGTGGGACACCATAATGTATGCAGACTGCTACTAACTGGATGTCATTCTTCAGGGAATGACTATATGCCAAAGTTATATATTCCAACTTCTGAAATGGGGATAAAGAAAAGGACTAAATTAGATAAAATATAAAACATGCTGCACTTCTGAAGAACGTGTTTTGTTTAACCAACACCAGCCATCTAAAGCTGGCTTACTGATTTTAAATAGTTTCACATTTGTAAAAAGTCTATAGTGTGAAGGAAACATAAATGAAATTGCTCATTTCTTTGTTAATAATGACTTATTTCAGACCAACTTCTTATCAAAACATTTTTAATATTTACTTTTTATTTTATTGCTGTGTATGTGTGAAGTGGGGTGGGGGTATGCATGTCAGGGCAGGCTTGTAGAGATCAAGAGGGCAACTTTATGGAGCTGACTCTTAATATCTACCTGCTGTGGAATGGTCTTTCTGTATGCTGTGAAAACGTGTTGCTACTCTTAGTTAATAAAAAGGCTGTTTTGGCCTATGGTAAGGCTGGATAAGAGGAAATCCAAGAGAGATACAGGGAGGAGAGGGCGGAGTCAGAGCAGACGCCAGCCCACCACCCAAGGAGCAACATGTTAGAAGACTGGTAACGCCACAGCCACGTGGCAAAACATAGATTAATAGAAATGGGTTAATTTAAGATATAAGAGCTAGCTAGCAAGGAGCCTGAGCCATAGACCAAACAGTTTATAGTTAAAAATAAGCCTCTGAGTGGTTATTTGGGACCAAGCAGCTGCGGGACACAGGAAAACTTCCGTCTACATCTACCTTCACACGGATTCCAAGGGTCAAACTCAGGTCGTCAGGCTTTTACAGCAAACACTTTTACCTGCCAAGTCCTCTCACAGGCCCTTTATCGAACACTGACAGAATTGTAAGTGTAGGTTTAGGGGATAGTTTCCTATGGCTTTTCAGAAGCCAAACAAAGATTGATCTGGAAAACCTAGTGTTCAGTGGGCGGTGGTGTCGCATGTCTTTAATCCCAGCACTTGAGAGGCAGAGGCAGGAAGATCTCTGAGTTCCAGGCCAGCCTGGGCTACAGAGTGAGTTCTAGGACAGCCAGGGCAACACGAGAAACCCTGTGTCTCAAAAAAACCAAAAAAAAAAAAAAGAAAGAAAAAAGAAAGAGACGAAAGAAAGAGAAGAAAACCCAGCGTTCAAACATCATGGTGTATGCACCAACAAGCCAAAGCAGCCCACCAACAAACATGGAATGTTTGCTCAGGCAAGCACAAAGCATTGCCTGCGATGAGTGCTGTCTTGGAGACAAGGCTCTGTGTTAACCGTACCCAGAAAATTCCCTTAATGACATGTATTTTCACAACAGCTCCCACATTAATAATGCAGTTCAAATGAACCAATTAATACAGAAATTTTACGTGTCTGATTCTGGAGGGTTGACTGTATTTTTCTCTCAGCGATGAACAAAATTCCATGACCACTCCTGCCTGAGAAGAGCAATAATATATTATTGTCTATGTAATAACAGAGGATCTTAAGTGAAGCTGAAAGCAAACTGAACTCCGTTGTAATAGAAGGCAATTTAACATAAAATGCAAAGTCTGGACTTTGAAGCCAGAAACCCTTGCCTGTGGGTCCTCATTCTCACACACGTGAGACCTTAGAGGCGATTTCTTTTCCCTGCAAAGGATTTTACCACACAGAACTGCCATGAGAAATCGGAGACCTTCTCGGAGCTGGCATTTAGAGGTTTCCAGAGTGAACATGTGCTGTAGGATGGTTTGTATGTCAAATGTATTGCTGATTGGTCAATAAATAAATCACTGATTGGCCAGTGGCCAGGCAGGAAGTATAGGCGGGACTAACAGAGAGGAGAATTGAGAGAACAGGAAGCTGGGTGAGAGAGACACTGCCAGCCACCATGATGAGAAACAGCATGTGAAGATGCCGGTAAGCCACGAGCCATGTGGCAAGGTATAGATTTATAGAAATGGATTAATTTAAGCTGTAAGAACAGTTAGCAAGAAGCCTGCCCCGGCCATACAGTTTGTAACCAATATAAGTCTCTGTGTTTACTTGGTCGGGTCTGAGTGGCTGTGGGACTGGCGGGTGAGAGAGATTTGCCCTGACCGTGGGCCAAGCAGGAAAACTTTAGCAACAAATGGCGTCCAACGTGGTGGCAAGAGTTTCCACCTAAAACCTGAGTAAAAAGATTCTAAAACGGAGCTAAAAACAGGTCCTAGTTGTCTCTTTTAAGCTAGCGGCAGCCTGCGTGTTTGAGCTACTATGGCGGGTTCCTGGCGTGCATGCTCGACCTGCAGTATGGTGGGAATGAGGCCTCTGCAAGTGGCACATTAAGCTGTGTGGTGGATTTAGCCTTTGCTAGTACAAAACAAACAAAAACAAAAAAAAATGAGGTTTCTGGGCTACACGCTGCTTTGATAGAAGCATAGACCCACTATTTCTGAGAGTTGATGGCTCCCAGAGCTGGCAGAAAACGTACCACTGCCATGTTGGGAAGCTGAAGTGGGCGGAGCCAGCAGCCATAGCGCCAGCACGGTTTCAGGCTTAGAAGGTTGCAGTTTAAAGCAATAGGCTCAAGTCAATATAAAAAAATAAGCCACGTAAAGATGGCTACCACACAGAGAATCTGGATTATGTTCTCTTTGATATTTGTAACTGAAGAAAAACATTTGATTACAAAAGCTGTTGAGTTATGCCAAAATGTATATTTTAAAGGTACCTTGACTTTAAAATTTGGATGTAAGGATATGTTGCTTTGGAAAGGAGGCTCTGCTTTTGTTCCTACAGAAAGCCAGAGGCTATGGATTTGTTCCAGATTAAGATACATCAGGTTTGACCAGCCAAGACCACCTGAAAGGTCTCCGATGACACCATGGCCCAGATGATCCAACATCCAGAACCGTTTCAAGACAACTGGCTCAGACGATACAGCCTCACGGATTACTCCATAATCCTAAAATAGTCTTTGTGTCCCCATAAGATACAGCGCCCCCCTCCAGCAGGAAGTAGTAAGAGAAGCGACGCTCAAATTCCCAAATATACCAAGCTGACTTTGGAGATGTGTAAAGGTTAAAACCTTCCTTTTTAAGAAAAGAAAAGGGGAGGTGCTGTGGGATGGTCTGTATGTCAAATGTGTTGCTGATTGGTCAATGAATAAATCACTGATTGGCCAGTGGCCAGGCAGGAAGTATAGGCGGGACTAACAGAGAGGAGAATTGAGAGAACAGGAAGCTGGGTGAGAGAGACACTGCCAGCTACCACGATGACAAACAGCATGTGAAGATGCCGGTAAGCCACGAGCCATGTGGCAAGGTATAGATTTATAGAAATGGATTAATTTAAGCTGTAAGAACAGTTAGCAAGAAGCCTGCCCCAGCCATACAGTTTGTAACCAATATAAGTCTCTGTGTTTACTTGGTCGGGTCTGAGTGGCTGTGGGACTGGCGGGTGAGAGAGATTTGCCCTGACCGTGGGCCAAGCAGGAAAACTCTAGCTACAAACATGCATATCGCATGTCCTTTCTAGAAGAAATAAATTCGGGGGGTTGGGCATTTAGCTCAGTGGTAGAGCGCTTGCCTAGCAAGCTCAAGGCCCTGGGTTTGGTCCTCAGCCCTGAAAAAAAAAAAAAAAAAGAAAGAAAGAAATTCGGTATAAATTCAAGAGGATAAGAAGGGACAAGAACAGAGCATCATCAATGTGACATATAGGAAGAATGGAAGTAGATGGAGGCATGGTAACCAGGCAGAAGGAAGGCAGAGAGGGCATGGTAAAGGAGAGACAACTGGGCTACTCCCAAAGAACCCAGGAAGAGCTGGGACCAAAACCCCTGGAGACCTGGAAGGTGTACCAGAGCACGAAGGGAATGAACGGTGAGTGGAAGGCCCGTGAGCCACGTCAGGAGCCACCGTGCAGCGCTGAGACTGTCCTGGGTCTCCTGCAGGACTTTAGGAAGCAACATAGACACCGCACACTGCCAGCCCCCAAGTTACTACTTTAAAACATAATAATAACACTAACCTTGTCAGAGGAAGAATGAGAGAATGGGCCCATTTCTGCGGGGGCCTCAGCCAGGGTTGGCTCTGGCCTCTCCAGCCAGCCAGGGCTCCATCAATTCAAAGCTGAACAAACGGCTCATGAATTCTAATCCACTCTCTTCTGGTCTCGGCTTTCTTCTTCATGCTGGGAGGCCAAATTATAGTATTTTATTATTTTGTCTCTTTACTGTGTACTTTATTTATCTCTGTTTGTGCTGCCTAGTTTTGGGGCAGTTTTCAAAAGCTCTGCTTGCTCCTACGGCTCTTTTTATTCATGGTAAAAACCACTGGTGGCTGTAATGCACCTCTCCCAAGCTTCGAGATTTCTGTTATATTCCTGACGCCCTGCCAGCTTCGTTAGGCTGGAACAGAATGCTGAAACTCTATGCGCTGTGTTGATTTCAGTGTTCTCACAGCACATTAATCCTTTTCTGGAGTCGGAGATTCTGCTCCTGGTTCCTCGAGTAGTGCCCACATGCCAACCTTCAGGAATCAACAGACCAGGGCAAATGGAGAGCAGTCTTCTAATCCGCCTGACAGTGTGACAGTGTGCTCTCATCCACCCTTCTCTCTGTTTGGACTCTCTCAGACACAGTGCCCACTGGCATCAGGGCCACTTACAACTTGTTTACAATGTATTGTATTCTTACAATGTAGCGCAATGGTTGGCACATAGTAGGTACTCAATAAATACGTACTGGGTGGATAAATGGGTTGTTCCGCGTGTGTGTGGTGTGTGTGTGTGTGTGTGTGTGTGTGTGTGTGTGTGTGTGTGTGTGTGTGTGATAGGAAGGGGGGCAGGGAGTTCACTTATATAACAGCCCTGGCTGGCCTGGAACTCACTCTGTAGATCAGGCTGGTCTTGAACTCTGAAGAGATTGGCCAGCCTCTGCCTCCTGAATGTTGAGATTAAAGGCATGGGGCAGCATGCCTGGCTGTTGATAGATGTTTGTCTACAGTCTAAAGATGGATCTATTTTATGATGATGTTAATTTGTGTTAGAAATTTCCAGGCAGCAGCAAGGGCGCTAGAAAGGAAGGGAGGAGAGCCAAGATGAATTTTACTGACGATACCCCTCTTGAGCCAGCTTGATGGCTCAATTAGTGATGCCTGTCACCCAACCTGACAAAGGACCCAGCTTAAGAGGTGGAAAGAGACAACTGACTACTCCGCTTGTCCTCCAGTCTCCACACATAGGCGGGGACCCACACTCACACCACTACACACATACACACACATTAATGGAGGAATAAATGTATTTTTAAATTTTGTAAATAATAGCCTCTCACTAATTTCTCCACTGACCTTCTGTCGGAGGCCATACCTCACCTGCACATCCTTCCTGGCCTGGTCCTGCCAAGCATCAACACACGTCTTTTCCATGAAGTATTCTGAGGTCTACTTCTCATTTCTCTGTACACCTCAAGCTTCAGAGGCCAGGGGGGCTCCCCTGCTGGCAGACAGAACATGCTCTCTGAAGGCGCGTGGGACTGTAATCCTCTCTCCTGTAGCCCAACTCTTTATGATGGCATCCTTTTAGGTATGTCTGTGCCTTCTCTTCTCAGCCTTGCTACAAATTCCTTGAGCTGAGCCTGCGTCTCATATTTCTCATTCTCTCTATCCAGGCGCCACCTAAGGTGCATGTTATCTACTTCCAAGGTTCGATTCCCAATCACTCCACCACTCCATCACAAAGTAGGATGAGAAGATAAGACAAGGCCAAGAACACAAGATGATAAGGGGTAGAATACATCCAGCCAAGACGGTTAAACCCTAATAGTATATTAGGTTAAATTCCTCTGAATTGCTGAATGAACGAAAAACACAGCAACAAAGCAAAGGCTTGCAGAACAGTTTAGCAAGCCCCCCTTCCTTTCTCACATCCTTCCATGGCTAACTAGCAGACTCTCATCCACACAGCCTCCAACAGCTCTAACAGCCCCTCCTGGGACCGGAGCGTGGTTCAATTCAACGTGATTTTAAAAATGCAGACGCTTAACCACCTGGAGCCGTCGTAGCAGGGTTTTCCGAGCTGGGAGGGCTCTAAGAAATCAAGTTTAAGCTATAATTCCCAACCAAAAAGTCCTTCGTTTCCTTTCAAAATATGCAAGACCCCGAGGAAATAGCAAGACTAACCTAGTAAAAGCTTGTGTAAACTTTTTTGGGAAGAGGATTCGGGGCTTGAAGGGGTCGTGCTGTCAAAATGTTACAGATCAGTACTGGAGTACGTCTTTGATGTCATAGACCAAAGAGCCTAACCCGGGAGCCCAGATTGGGTGCCCAAGGAGACGTAGCCAGTGGTAACACAGCCAGCTATGACCCAGTTTCGCTGACTCCTGGCTCCCATCTTTCCTCCCGCCTTCCACCCCGTTCCTTTTTCTGTTATAAAGAAATGTTCTTTGTGGCACCATTTGCTCTTCCCGGATCTGACCCATGGCATTGCTGATGTTTTGCTCCCTTACATTTTAAGCACCTTCCATCTGCCTGCTTTCCCTCACCCTAATGATGCCCACAGAGCTGTAATCTTCTCACTTCCCTTTTTCTATTACCACTTCACCTGGCCTTTGCTCCCTCTCTTTTCTGCTACACATGGCATGTCTCTGGGTGCCCTTTTGTCCTCCCGCTCTGACTTTATGAGAAGTGTTTATTTCCATGTTTTCGGTATTTGCCTGGATGTATTCTCACCGAGCTGATGGTAAAGCCCTTCTCTCTCAGCAGGAAGCTGTTGCTCACGGCAATTACGCCTGCTGTCTTCCTTTTCATTTTCCTTCAGCTCGTGATGAAATTGTGCTTCCAGAAACCCCATGAATTCTTTCTGAAACTCTTACGTAACCCAGTGTATTCAGCCATTTCTTTTCCATCCATATATTTTTTATGTTTGGCTGGGCATTTGGGCTCATTTCCCCTCCAGATAATTTGGTGATGATTTGATCTAAAGTTCCTCTCAGTCTGTTGATGATCTCCACCATCCCTGTGGGTGGCTTCCGTGTCCATCAGACTCGGCTGATACTTGAATCATCTGCTGCGGAGAGAGTCTGCCCTGCTAGTTTTGTTCTTTGTGAGTCTGTTTGCTGATTTTGTTGTTTGTTTGTTGGGGGGTGGGGATTTTTGCTGCTGTTGTGTATTTCTGAGAGGGAGAAGGAATGTTACTGCTGGACACACTCTAAGGTCTAGCATGCGTCCTTGAATGTCAAGTTGAATTCACTCTCTCTTTAAAGAGCAAAACTCTAGGTGTATTATGTTTCTGGGAATGATTCTAGAATACCAGAATTTTATTACCCAGCTTTTCATTACTATAACAAAATATCTGGGATGAGAACTTAGAAACAAGGATGGCTAATTTTGTGTCACAGTTTTGGAGACTTCAGTCCATGAAGGTGGATGGCAGCTGGTTGTCTCCGGGTCCGTGGCATCATGACAGGGAGTACTTAGTGGAGGAAGAGACTCACCTCATGATAGTGAGAAATAAAAAAGAGGAAAAGAGTGACCTGGGTCCCAATAATCCCCTTCAAGGACACACCTCCACGTGACTGAAAGACTTCCAATAAGGCTCCACCCCTTAAGGGTTCTACTACCTAATTGTGGGCCGGGAGACATACCTTTAATACATGGGTCATTGAAGGTGAGTAATTCAAACCATAATGTGGAGAATATTTCACCAGAACTGATATACAGGTTTCAATATATCCATAAACAAACCAGCACTTAAGCTGAGTCATCAAGTCTGCTTCCTCCATCTACACAGTTCCAGCCCTTCGCCCTGCCCTGCTCTGCTCTGGAAGTCAGGGTTTCCTCACTAGAGAAGAGCACTGGAAATCTCAAGGCAGAAGTCAGGTCCTTACAGTGCCAAGCTGGAGTTCAGAAGAGGCCAGTGGAGAAAAGGAAAGGCACTGGGGATGCTGCGACTGAGAAAAGGGCAGAGCAGCTCAGGTCCTGGTGGCCCTTTCTTGGAACTCTGACTCCATAGTGAATGTGACTTAGGAGCAAATGAGATACTGATCGGTGGCAGCCACTGGATCTTGGAAAATGGAAAGCACAAATTCATTCCAAACCCCACTTCACAGAGAGGTAACACAGGCCTCTCCTGGTCGGCCCAGCTATAAGGCTAAAAAGACTCCACAGAGTTCATAACAAAGACTTGCCGAGACGTGAGGCAGGGCCTGAGACCCACAAAACTGTCACAGTGGCATTGGCCTGTAACCTACTCTTTCTCCTCCAGGTGCTAATGCACCCTTGTGAACCTTGAACCCATTCAAAGTGCAAGATAGATCAACAGGCTAATATAACCGGGTATGACAAACTCATTGATAAGCCTGGGAGTGTGGCTCAATAGTAGAGTACTCGCCTTGCCAGTGTGAGGCCATCGATTCTGTCCACACCCCTGCAAAGAAAAGACAAAAAAAACTCAGTGAAATCATTCTAGATTCTCTATTAGAATGAGCTTTTGCTGTTCTTGTTGGTTTCCCAGGACCCACACCTGTACATTCACAACTGTAATGGCCAATGGCTAGGCAGGACATATAAGCGGAACTTCTGGACAGAGAGCTCTGGGAAGAAGAAAGGGGAGTGTTGCCAGCCAGATGCAGAGGAAGCAGGATGGGCAAAATGGAGATGAGGCAACAAGCACATGGAAGAACATAGATTAAAAAAATGTGAGTTAATTTAAGTTATAAGAGCTAATTAGGAACGAGTCTAGGATAAGACCATAATAATTGATAATAAGTCTCTCTGACACTTTTTGTGAGCTGGTGGCTCAAAGAAAAATCTGTCTACATGTGGTGTCCAATGTCGGGGCTGGAATATCCAAACATAGGGCCTGAGAAAGCTAAGGAAAGTTCGGGACAAGGAGTCAGATGTAGCTTCCTAGTCCTTCAGACTCTCAGGTGGGCTGGTGCTTAGAGACATAAATAGGCCTGGCTACTGGCTACTGCCTGAGGACTGGAGCCAGGGGCCAGCAGCCAGCACCATAAGCTAAGCTGAGCTGCATGGCGGCTGATATAGCAATTTAAGATTTGTTTCATGGACTGGAGAGATGACTCAGTGTAGCAGGAATCTTAGAAGGTCTTATTAATAAAATCAAACCTGAGGCCAGCTATTGGGGTGGATGCTGGAAGATCAGAGAAGCAGAGCAAGCCACAGCCAACTCACCTCACCAGTTCCTCAGCTGATCCTGTTTCCCCAGACTGGAAGCCTTTCAGTCCTCATCCAGAATGAATCTCAGCTGAACTGTGCTACTCAAA